CACCTTGGACCATCTTCTTGAGCTGGCTCTCCGACACGGCCATGGCGGCCACCGCGCCGCTCCGTCCCCGCAGGCAGAGGGTCAGCCGCGCCGGGCCGCCCAGCCCTCCCCACAGCACTGAGCACCAAGCAGCCAGCCCCCCGCCGCCCCGCCCCTAACTACCGGAAGTCGGCCGCCACGACATTCTTTCCGTTTCCGTTACGTCACTTCCGAGGTCAGCGCTGAAGCTGGGTGCTTCCCGCCCACCCGCTGCTCGGGTGCGGCTGGTCGCGCCCGTGTTGTGGGGCTGCTGGTGCCGAGGGTCGAGACCCGGGGCTGGGGCAGATCTGCAGGTGTTTCGCAGTTGCCCTCAGACTTGGAGAGCGGGTGCAGGGAGGGCAAGTACTGAAGGTCTTGCCAACGAGCTTTAATGGCTGATTCATCGACCGGGAGGGCACCGGATTGGGCGCCGGACAACTGCCACTGACTTGCCCTTGCGGTGATAGCAATGCACTTCTGGCTTGGGCCGAGGTTTTTCACCGTCTAACACGGGCGGCTTGCATTACATGATGCCCCGTGTCTCAGGGTGTGTGTTTGTCTGAAGCTTCTAAGTTCTTAATACTGCATCCCCAAGGGCCAAGTGCAGATTTCTCCACAGGAAGCCTGGCAGTAATTTCTTCAGGAAACCATTCCCCTGGGTCAGAACTTCTCTGTGCCCGGACCTCAAATGCTAACACAGGCTGCGTTTTACTTTGCACTACATTTGTATCCTAACCTGTCCACTGTCAAAGTCCAAGTCTTTGAGGGCAGGCTCGTCTTCAGATGCTCATTGCCTTGTACAGCACAAGAGTGCTTGATCTTGATTGAATGTCTACTTCGGATAAAAGTTGTTCATAGTCATATTAGTCATTGAACATTGCCAGTTTTATAAGTATCATGTTTTCAGGGTATTGTAAACTGTAGTATGGTAATTTGGATGATTCAGCCTAATGCTAACGAGGAACAGGTTGTGGTATTAATTCCCTTCCAAGTTGGCACTTAAGTGAAGGTCACATACACAAAGGGTGTAATCAAAACCACGTTATAAATGGTTTTGCAACCATTATAAATGGTTGCATGCAAACACAAAAACTATATTGCTTTTAAAACTATGGACACCATACGTTAGTAAAGCAACAGTTCGTCAAAGGAAACTATAAGGCAGTCTATCTTGCCACTGCACCTCTTTTAAGTCACTTAAAAGCAATCTGGTTTTCAAACAGCTTAGGAGTACCTTCACTTAGGCAGGGGTAAAGAATGTCTGGCCCACCTGTGGGCTGTACAATGCTTGAGAAATCATTTGGTCTGGCCCTGCCAAGGAATTGGGTAAATTAAATGTCTGACCAAATATAGTAGGCAAGTTTTTAAGTTGATAATTTTGCATGACCTCGAATGATGTTATAAATATCCAAATGGCTCTTGGCAGAAAAAAGTTTCCCCACACCTAACTTAGAGCAACTATGCTTTTATTAATAAGGGGAGCGCAATTAATAAAAAGTTTTCTTGCTAAAAATATATTTTTTAAAGCTTGCAAACAATTAACAAAATCCAGTCTCTTCATTTTGCACTTAAGCCACTTAAAATGAAATAACCAAATATCTTGGGGACTATAGAATTATATGAAAGGATCTTTCTCTTCAATCTGAATAAATTTCCTTCCATTCAATAAATTAAACATCTCCCGGTAATTTTAAAGTCAAAGTTTATTTTTTTTTCATAATTTTTGACATTTAAGGAAAATCACAATGTAAAACTGGAAAAATAAAATATTTATTTCTGCTACAATATCAAAGAATCATTTTAATCCAAGCATCACTAAAACTTAGAATAAGAGACATTGCATGATTTTGGAAAAATAAAAAAGTGAAACTTAATAGCAGCATCACAAATGTCAAATTATTACCAAATCATAGTGAGATGGTGGTGGTACTGCTTCTTGACTTGTATATGGAATTTACAACATAACTGATAATATTCAACACTCAACGAACTGTCTGATAGAATTACTTCTATGCTGTGGGCTTCTGTAGGGCAAGGGCTGTTTCTCATCTTTGAATATTCAGATTCTAACATAGTACTTGGAATAATAGGTGCTCAATAAATATCTGTTGTATTGTCATGTTTCTATAATTAATGTAGTAAATTCTTGGCAATTCATCTATAATACAGTATCTTGCGGTTAGGTTTATGTTTTAGAGCATAGTAGACAGTAAAATTATCTAATTTCTGATTAGGTATCTGATATTAGAAAAGGCTAGTTGTATTTCTAAAAATCATAAGAATCGTTCTTTCAGTTTTACTTTCCTATCTCATACAAATGGACAATGAGGATACATTGTTAGAGTAACACCAAAATAATCTACCCATCTAATGAACTTACACCAGAACTAATGCTCATCTCTTTCAAATGTCCAAGGTTTTATACTAGTTAATTCTGGTGGGAATCTTTCCAAGCATATTACTTTCCTACCTTTTAAACACAGGATATAATATAAACTGAATTATATTCAGTGGGGCCTTGACTTACGAGTTAAATTTATTCAGAGACCAAGCTCGTTAACTCAAATTACTCTATCAACTCAATGCAAAAAATCAGCTGACAGCTGGTATCTCAAAAAACTCGTTAGTCGGGACACTCGTAAGTCAAGGCCCCACTGTACTGAATATACTCTCATCTTTTCTTAATGATTTAAGCTCATCATTATAAACATTATTGTACTAAATCAGCACTAGATCAACGGTTTCCTCTCTATCTAGGATGTCTCTGTTCTTTGAACCATTGGGCTCCTATCTATCTGACCATTTATTTATGATATGCTTTCAAAGCACCTGGACTTCTTCGCAGAACTTATTACATTTTCAATTGTATATTTATTTGTGACATTTGATCACTGTGTATGCCATACTAGATTGTAAGGACCTTAAGGGCTTGTACCTAACCCAGGTTTGCTCACCACTGTACCTGCAGTGCCTAAAAATGCAGTGCTGCGGTACAGTGGGCTCCCAGTCAATACTACCTGAATAACCAAATAAATAAGCACCTACCACAGTGCATACCCCTCTCTGCCATTTGCTGAGGGCAAATCTGGGAAGTCAGGGAATCAATCTTTCTAAAAACTACGTTGCGGGGGAAGTCAGCTCCTACATCAGAATGGAAGGTACAGAACCCCAGCTTTAGGGGCCTGTGGTGACTATTTTGGCTATTAGGCCTTTTCCCTCTATTAGCAATTAAAAAAAGTAGAGATTGTATGGATAAGTGCCCTTTACCCATGAGATCTTGGTCACTAAAGCTCAGTTTCCTCCTCTATAAAATGAGGATGATAATCCCCACCTCAATGGTTTACAGTGAGGATTGAACAAAATAATAAAGTGCTCATCACACTGCCTGAAACATCGTGTTGATGTTGGTTGTTACTATTAGTTGTATGCCACCTCAGTAATGATATGCAATCTTTCACATATGAAGATATTGTTATTGAACCATCACCAAAGCGTATGTACTCTGATTGTTTCTTTAGGAATTGTTAAAGGATCTGCTCAGAATAATCAGTTCGTCCAACCTCTCCCCCTTTAAAACCAATGGCTTTTATGACAACCTATTTGAGCTTAAAAGTAAACTGCTTGGCTTTCATTCACAATCTATTTTCACTGAAAATACACATTTCTCTATGATTCTACTAATATTACTGTGAATTTATGAGGTGTTAGAACTCTGATAGCCCAGAAAGAGGCTATAGAAAATTTCAAAAAGGACAGTTCCACTGGAAGGTAAATAAACTTTTTCTTTATATATTAAAAAAATTCACTTTCCCTTTTACTATTTTAAAGTACATGTACAATTCTTTCCCATTGTTTGGTAGCTAATTAATTGAAGAAGGAAAACAAAATGCTTTATTACCATTACTACCAACTTTATTTTTATACCTTAAATTGTGGATCCTTTGACTATATACCTAGCAGATTTGGCAAATCCATACTGACCCTTTGACTTAGCATGTTTACTGTAACAGTTGAAGAGTACTTTTCTTCTAAAAATATATTACTTTCAAAATATTCCCAAAGTGCTGAATGTGCTTTCAGTTGAGGATACATAATTTTACATGATGCATTTTGCAGATAAAGTTCATCTCTGCTATAGGTTTAAAGACTATCTATATATAAAAGGGTAATATGCAAAGTGTCTCCTCAGGAGTTCGACTGGGAGTTCAATCGCTTGCTATGACGTGTGCTGACCACCAAGGGGCAGTGCGGAACATGGCAGGCGACCAGTGGAAGTGGCGGGGCTCTGAGGGAGGGAGGGAAGGAGGAGGTGGGGAGATGGGGAGGCAGGGACCCTGATTGGCTCTGATTGTTGGCCAGGCCTAGGGACCCTACCAGTGCACGAATTTCGTGCACCGGGCCTCTAGTAGTTATAGAAAGAATGACAAAGAAAATCAGATTTTCCCCCTCCTTATCTAACTCCCTAAGAGTTCAAATTACAAAACCAACCAAAAAACCATCTCCCTTAACCAAGCAGTTTGTAAGGATAAGTAATAAGATACAGAAGTCCTCAACCCTATATATGTTGGCAAAATTAAATGACGCTTCCCTCCAAGTAGCTGTGAACTTTGGACTTAAAGTTTTAACTGTTGCTGGAGATCATGAAGTGAGGAGGCGCTGCTCTGGAGCTTCTCAGTCACTCTGTCTTCTTGCACTGTGCTTTTGATGACTTCAGATACCCCACTGGTTCCAAGGATGCAAGGCAAACTTAAAAACACTTCACTATTTATATCATAATATCCCTGAAATGAATAAAATTAGATTATAATAGAGCTAAAGCACTACAAACAAGTTAATATCATAAAAAATGGTACTTTCTTGCTTTTATAGCCATAGTACAAAGTTGAACTTTAAGGAAAAAAAAATGTTCATTTATTTTCTAAATTCAAGTTATTGTTTCAGATATTTTTTGTGAGATGGGAGGAACTTGGTCAAAGATGTCCCCTTTATGGGAAGAGAAGCTAGCCCCCTGCAATATGAGTAGCAAGTTGGGGGCAAAGAAAACAGACTGTTAGAATAGAGTCCCAGGGGAGGAGCACAGAATGGGCTCTGGGTACAGTCCAATGTAATAATCTGTTTTAAGTTCTCCTTTCCATGTTTTATTTCTCCTGGAATTCCTAAGTTTTCAAGAAAATTTGGTTAAGCATTTGTGCCTGTCTTAGTGGTGCTTGAGATGAAGTGGTAAAGGACAACTGAGCCGGAGAGTGCAAACTGATGAACAGGTAAGACTGGTGACACATCAGTCTGGGGTGACCTGGCTGGCTAAGGTGATAAAGGATAACCAGAAGGAGTTCATGGAATATATAAATGCTTCTTAGGAATTCCCCAAAATTACATGGGGGTGAAGAGAAACATAGAAGTGCAGAATTTCCATAACCAAGCAGGAGAGGGGTTAGAGTCCGTTTGAAATGAATAAAACTAAAAAAAAAAAAAAAAAAAGACCGTACCCTTTTATGTAATGATGTTTACTTTGAATTTATATTAGTTCACACAAACACTCCATCCATGCTTTTGTTCCGGCCCTCCCATCCAGTTTAAGAACCCATTGTGGCCCTCGAGTAAAAAAGTTTGCCCACCCCTGGGTTAGACCAAACTGTTTCCCTCTCATGTATTACTCTAATATTGAAGATACCTCATTACAATATGAATAGCATCTTTTCAGGTTTTAAGCTAATAATATAAAAGTTTAACCATATGATGAGAGAATGAGAATAGCAATTACCTTTGCTAAAGTTGATACAGAATGCACTTTCTTTCTATCATTTATAAGACTGTCAACTAGGTCAGCTACTGATAGTCCAACAGACCAGGATCTTTGACCTTTTACTTTTAATAGTTCCATGGCTCTAGGTTATGAAAAAAAAAATCAATTCAGAAAATGAATAAAATATGTATTTAGTCTTTCAATTTAAAGTATTAGTTACATATTTTTATAACACAGAAATGTGAGTTATACACTAATTGTTAGGAAAATACACAGATAAACTAATGATTAAGGTTTTCTTAAAATGTTGGATAAGCAATTCACAAGACAATAAAAATGACTTAACATAAAAAGATGCTCTACCACTACTACTATTTAACTAAATGTGAGTTGAAAGAATACATCAGTTTTGCTTATCAAAATTGGCAAATATTAAGAAAATTGGTAACTACTTTTAGAGAAGCTACAGAGAAAAAGGCATTCCCATAACTGCCGGTGAGAGTATGAGGTGACACAATTTTTTAGGAGAAAGATTTGGCAACGTTTGATCTAGAAATTCCTCTTCCAGGAATTTGTCCTACAGCAATATGCTCAAATGTGCAAAGACATACATATAATTATGTTTGCCTTGTCTGAGACAGAAAAAATTTGGAAACAATTAATCAAAAGTGAGTTAAATAAATCTCTAATATAGTGCCATGTAGCTCTAGAGAAGAATAAAGTAGATTTATATGGGCAATATGGAAAATGTCCAAGATTTATTATTAAGAAAACAAAGCGCCCTACCCGGTTTGGCTCAGCGGATAAAACATCAGCCTGTGGACTCAAGGGTCCCAGGTTTAATTCTGGTCAAGGACATGTACCTTGGTTGCGGGCACAACCCCAGTGGGAAGTGTGCAGGAGGCAACTGATCGATGTTTCTCTCTCATCGATGTTTCTAACTCCCTATCCCTCTCCTTTCCTCTCTGTAAAAAAATCAATAAAATATATTTAAAAAAAGAAAGAAAAGAAAACGAAGCAAGATAATATGAATAACATAAATCTGTTATAATAAAAATAATAAAAAATGATGTTTGCAGAAGCATTGAAAGAAATGTTTGAACATATGGGCACTAAACTGCTAACAGTGGTTCTTAGAGAATGGAATTACCCCAGTTTTTCACTTCGGCTTTATAGACATCGACAGCATTTATAGTTTTATAATAGTACACATTGTTTTGGTAACTAATAAAACATGATATAAAATTTAAAAACATGTTTGAATTTCTTCCTTTTAAAAGCTATAAATGCAGGTTTACATAAAGAATCAGGTTAGAATGGATTGTGCAACATACTCCCCTGATCAATAAGAGAATATTCTTTCCAGTTCAGAACTATATGCTGAAGTTTTAAAAAGCTAAAAATCTCCACCACTCAGACTGTAGGAAAGTATGTCATTATATGATGGTGAAACAACAAATGGTGTGAAAATATATGTAGAGTCCAACCTATAAGCTCTATACCCCCAGAAGGCCTCTGAATAAAGCAAAAGATACAAGGATCTGTGCATTATACTTTGTTTTTGCCTGCACTTATAATATGGCTTATCCATTCGTGTTAGACTAATTTCTAAATGTATTTATGTGTGATTAATAAGTACATTTCAAATTTTAAGTGGTATGAGAAGTTTTCTTCTACATTAAAGAAAATTGTCAAGCCCTAATCGATTGGGCTCAATGGACAGAGCATCGGCCTGCAGACTGAAGGGTCCCAGGTTCAATTCCGGTCAAGGGCATGTACCTTGGTTGTGGGCACATCCCCAGTGGGGGATGTGCAGGAGGCAGCTGATCGATGTTTTTCTCTCATCGATGTTTCTAATTCTCTATCCCTCTCCCTTCCTCTCTGTAAAAAATCAATAAAATATATTTTAAAAAAAAGAAAATTGTCAATATCCTCAGATGTTTAGATACGGGAGCAGTAAATCACTGTCTATAAATCAGGAACCTGTTCAACATTTAAAGAAATGTCAACTGTGTATCTGAAGTAAAGTTTGCAAAGCACTCTGATCCATTTTCTGATAAGAAACAATAGAAAACATTGCTCCCTTGTATTTTTGGATTTGTCCATACTAGCTAGTTTTGTCTGCAGGAGCCTGGTAAGTAAATGTTAGTTAGAGAAATGTAAATTTACACTCAGTGTTACCTGCTGGACAGCTGCACCTGAGAGTTATGACTCATGACTTCTTCTTGGCCACCCCATTTGGTAACTAAAAAGTAAAAAATCAATTATATTTTGTTAATAACTCTTTTAGGATTAAGATGTGATAGATGATTGTTTGCCATCAAGGGTACCCACCTTCTAGCAATAGTTACATTTTCCACTAATGAAACTAAATGTGCTGTAGTGACAGCTGGGGGAAGACTTTGAGCTGCAATCCCCAAAACACAAGATCCCCAAAGTCTACTTGCAGCCTTCTTACCTGTTCTCTCTCATCAACAATAGTTCTACATGGGCCATTTTACTGTCCAAATAGAAAGCACCCCTTCCTCAGCAGGCTGCGAATAACAGGCTCTCAAGTATTACACACCCTTGGTATTTGTTCTGCTGGGACCCACACAGACTAATTTCTTTCACCAGGTGAGGAATAATTTCACCATCTATTCTAGGCTAGATTTCAAACTTCCTAAATGTAAATCCATGCTAGTTTAGGGAGCTTTTTTAAATACTGTATCTAGTATCAATCTTAATCTTTTTGGTTCCATTCTTCAAGAACAGTAATCCTCTGGAGCCCAAAATTTGAATGAAAAATGACCATGCGACAGCACTTTTCCTTTACATATAACACCTTCCCCTCCGGTAAGATGGTTGTGTATGTAAAGCAGATGATCTAACACTCTGTCCTGAGGTCCAGCCTTGGATTTCTAAAACACCATTCGAAGGAGCTACCTGCAGTTTACATATGATTTCAATGTCACAGCTGAAAATAGCTGCTCCAAAGTACATGTTTTGCTGACTATCTAATTTGGTATGGCATAATATGAATGACCTTTGATCACAAGATGGTGTCAGGATCATTCCTTCATCTCAAAACACATTTACTGAGACCATTCCAAGGAACCTACAGTCTGTGGGATAAGACTGGTAAGTATGCAGTTATAACATAGTGTGATAGTGTTTATAATAGAGGCATAAACTTACTTAACCTGGATAATTAGGAAAGGCTTCCTGGGAGAGGTGGTACTCAAGCCCAGTCTTGAAGGGTAAGCAGATGGTAGCCAGTGAATGAATATTCAGGGAAAGGAAGCATCAGGTGCAAAGGCAGGGAGACATGAGAGTGCATGAACCACTCAGGAAATTGCAAGTTGACCATCTGACTAGCACAGAATGCCTGGCTGAATGGCAGAAGATGAAGCTGGGGAAGGAAGCAGGAAACAGATCCTAAAGCGTTTTGTATGTTATATGATCTCTTCCCTAGGCTGTAGTTGCCACTTGTCTCTGAAATAGTTGAAGAGAATAATTTTACTTACACACCTGCTATTACGTTTCCAAATCCTAATGTTGCTTTATTTCAAAACATAGTTCTACATGTTTTTATCAATTTTTTATTCATAACCATCTTGCTGATTACTGTAATAACAGCTACTATTTACTGAGTGTTTACTTGATGCCAGACACTGTACTAAATGCTTTAAGTAATTATCTAATTGAATCACAGCAAGAAAAAGCACAGCTTTGGAGTTGACCAGGGTTCAAACCTCAGTTTTGCCATTACTACATGTGTAACCACAAACAGATTAGTCAACCTGAATTTTAAGCTTTCTGATATATTAATTTGGAAAACCACCATCTCCTTCTTAAGTTGAGATATGCAAACCATTTAATACACATAGTATCCACTCAATCTATATATATAAAAGCCTATGTAACCAAATGCCCACTCACTATGATGTGCATTGACCACCAGGAGGCAAATGCTCAACGCACAGGATTGGGCTCCCTCCTGTCTGGATCGGGCCTGTGGGGATGGGGCCAAAACCGGCTATCCCTTGAGTAGTCCCAGGCCAGGTGAGGGCCTCTAGTATAATTATAAATGCTATTACTGTGGTATCACTTATACAAAAATATAACCAGTTGATATCTATAAAACCAGCAGAGGGAGCCTCTAATCCATTTCTGGCTTCAGGGCCATGCTAAGTTGTGATACCAATCCATTGCAATCACTATCTCTGGAAACAAACAGAAAACAGGATAAAAAGTGATCTGATAGTGGTATCTAAATGAAAGACAGGGTTGAGGACTACATAGGTAGTTTCAGTGGTATCGGTACTGTTCTTAATAATTGAGTGTGGATTCATTGAGTGTGGATACATATATATAAGTAGTCATTTGCAAGTTAGGAATGTTTATTCTATTATGCTCTAAAACAGTGGTTCTCAACCTGTGGGTCGCAAACAGTGAAAATATATCCTGCATATCAGATATTTATATTACGATTCATAACAGTAGCAAAATTACAGTTATGAAGTAGCAACAAAAATAATTTTATGGTTGGGGGTCACCACAACATGAGGAACTGTACTAAAGGGTCGTGGCATTAGGAAGGTTGAGAACCACTGCTCTAAAACATATATATATATATTACATTATATACTTTTGTATGTGTCAAATATTACATATTATGCTTAAGTAATTCCAATTCTCATGTACCTACATCCCTCTATTTCTAGTTCCCATTTGAGACCTGAAGACAAATTTACCATAATATTCCTTATGCTTTTATCTTACTTCCCTTAGGCCTTTCTCATAGGAAGTCAATACTGCCTTCTATTACAGTCATTTCCTATATTATATGCTAAGCTTCCTAAAAACAGGGTCAGGTTCTTATACATCTATTTGCTCTAACAGCAGTCAGCATAGTGTCTTAGGTTTACTTATTGTCACACCATCCTTTATTTTCTCTTTACAATTTGTGATATTAATGCAACCATATTTATGAAATGTTCTAATTCATTAAAACATTGTAACCTATTAGGGGGACTGGTTAAATAAATTTTGATATATCCAGTAGTTAAAAGAATGAAATGCATATATAGTAGTCATTTGCAAGTTATCAATACGTAAAAGGGCAAGGTGGAGAATAATGTATGATATATATTTTATACATCTGCTTCTCTATGCACAGAACATTTCTGTAAGATTACATAAGAAACTGGTAGCTGTGATTGCTTTTAGAGAAAGGAGTGTCTGGCATACAAGGGATCCTTATTTTTCACTGTATACCTTTTTGTACGATTTAAATTTTTTTGCGATGTGAATGTATGATTTTTTTCAACTAGAAGAACAGCTTAATAATTTCTACTTTTAATAAGAAGGTGCAAACACAAAATTCAAACTGGATCAGAATAAACAGCAGTTTCACAAAAGAATAAGCATTGTGAAACAATATATGGTTAGTCACCATATAGCTAACAATAACTTAGCTCAAAGGACTGAAAAAAATCACTGTGGAGTGATGTGATCTGGAAAAGCTTCATAGTGTAATAAGGGGAGCTTGACTGAAATCTTGAAGGATGAGATTTAAATATGCTGAGAGGGAGAAGGGATTAGGAGGAAAATGAGGTGGGCAAAAATCCCTGTGGCTGAAGCAAAGCTGTAGAGTGGGACTAGGCGGCACAAGCCCTGGGTTTTAGTCCTGGGTTTTAGACCAGGAAAGCCATAGGCTCCTAGGCAGGTCACTCTTACCATCCCTGTATCCATTTCTGGGTTCTTAAAGTGTAACTGATGATCCCTTGGGTTCCTTCCAACTCTTTAATAACATGACTACCTCCATAACTATAACTGCGAAGGAAGATTAAGGCATTCCTTGAATACTGTGGGACTCCTTGAATGCCAACCAAAGGAATTTAATGGTTGATCACAGAAAGCCAGTAAACGTTTTTGGAAGGAGGTATATGATTTAGGAAGACTGAATTATAATGAAAGCATTTGTAAACACCGTGTAAGTTTTGGCTAATATCATTATTAATTTGGTAGACTAGAGGAGAAAGAGCCAACTAACTGGGAGATTTACAATAACCAGGTAAGCAAAAGATCAACCTGGACCAGAATGCAAATGGTAGTGAGTAAAATTCAGGTCTTGGGTTTGTTTGAATCCCTAGACATTCATTACTCTAATACATCTGGCTCCAAGTTCTTGTTTGCTACCTTTTTCTAGGGTCCTATTGATTAATGTTTAGCATTTTGAACCTGGAAAGTATTTCTGCTTGAATTACACTGTCAGGCTTTGTAAAAGTTTATTCTATAGCACTGAACTCTCTAGGTAGCCAGTGCAGATTTATACATATTTAAAATACTACTGTATTTTATTAAAATAATTTTCTTAAAAATTATACAAATACCACATATCCATAGCAACAAAATTAGAAAACACAGAAAAGAACACATTTTTAAAAGCTACTTCTATCCCAGACATAATAGCTGTTAATATTTGGCATCAAAGCATATAGGAAGCTTTAAATTTTAAGAAAATACTTTTGAAGAAATATAAAACCTGACTAAGGAGTCTTGCCTAATTGTAAACTTACAGAAAGGTAACTATAATTAGGATAACACATTTGAGGAGTCTATTCACTACACAGAGATGTTACAGAAAAGGCACCCAAATGTGGAACAAAACCCAACTAAGCTCCACAATTCTTGAGTCCCCAGTTATATCTGAATATCATGGCCACTAGTGATTTAGGTTATCAATATAACTAGTAAAAATGTACTTCTTACCTTTGTCTTCTCCCTGCTCACCAATAACCCACACTGGTTTTCCTGAAGTCTCTGCCTTTAAAACCTTTGTAATAATATACTGTAACCTCTGTGAGTCCAGATTGCATCCAATTCCAATTACTCGATTTGCAGGAAATGCACTCAGTTTCCATGTCACATAAGTCATGATCTCCACTAAATATTGCATACAAGGTAAAAATGTAAATATTTTAAAAAACATACTTCTAGCCTAGTTCATAAACAAATATTATTTTAATAAGTATATAAGAACTTGTATATATTCTTCTTAGGTCCTAAATGCACTATAAGGTATATTTCTAACGTATATTTGTAAAAAACCACCAGGTTTCAGCATGATTTAACATAACTTTGTTGCTAAATATAAAGCGGAGAATAATTTCCTAGCATAGTTAAGCAAGAAGGATAAAAACCAGGTACAGAAAACCAGAAGATAATTTTTTTTCATTGATCAAGTTATCTTTTATATCTATCTTAAGCTGAGTTTCTATCTTTAAATTAAAATACTGATTCATATACCACCACTATGTGGTATAGGATTATGAAGAAAAACACAACTACTTTTTTTCAAATATGCCAAAAGGATGTCAAGAATTAAAGAGACCAGAGTTCCTCAATTACTATAGGAAAAACAAGTGAAATGCATGCCATACTCCTACATGGGGAACATGTAAAAATATCTGTTCACCAACTTGAGGCCAGTACCACACCTAACTCTTTACAAATATTTTTCTTAAGTAAAACAGTTTCAAATAATTTAAATTCAAAATGTTAAAAATGTGCTGAAACCGGTTTGGCTCAGTGGATAGAGTGACGGCCTGCGGACTGAAAGGTCCCAGGTTCGATTCCGGTCAGGGGCATGTACCTGGGTTGCGGGCACATCCCCAGTGGGAGATGTGCAGGAGGCAGCTGATCAATGTTTCTCTCTCATCGATGTTTCTAACTCTCTATCTCTCTCACCCTTCCTCTCTGTAAAAATCAATAAAATATATTTAAAAAAAATGTTAAAAATGTACTCTGGCATGCTCACTAACATTGTATGACACTTCAGAATTAAAAAAAGCTCTTTCACATAGCCACTGCATTTTTCTCTTGGGAGTTTAACCATTTTCTCACTGAAAAGCATGGCTAACAACCTGGAACATAATAATAGTAGTATAATATAAAAATGATAATTTGTAACCTTCTAGTTAATGTTAGTCATAAGAAGTCACTGTATGACAGGATATGGAAATACTGTATTGTTCATTATAAGAGCAATTTAATTGACTAGTCATCCTTTTATAATCCAGTTTTATCAGTAATAGCAATTCTACTGATGCACTGGATCATCAAATTCATTTAAAATAAAACCTATTACCTGGTTGAGATGCAACAAGCAGGACACTGTGTTGACTATAATGTCCCAGAGCTGGGACAAGGGCTCTGAACATATCCACATTCCTCTGCACCACATCAAGGTAGGACTGAGAACTACCCAAAGAGTTAACGGTAAAGATGACCACTTTGGAATGAGCAGAAGCAGTCAAATCTAATGAATAAAAAGAAACAGTCTAAGCTCAAGGCATATGTTTTAATCAAGTTTGTGTTCATAAAGAAGGTTTTTCTTCTCTCCAAGTAGAGACCTTTTCTGCACACATACCTCCAGATCAATCTTATCTCAATAGGAAGTACACAAAGTGCTGAAGTTTGCCACCAGAAAGAGGATTAAGAGCAACAGTGTATTCCAAGGGGGGAAAGAGAGCAATAAAGATAAACCAAACAAATTACAGGATCCAGAACCCACAAAAAAAGGAATTAATTTTTATTTAATCCATCATTTTATTAGGGAAAATAAATATGTTATAGGCAAAATAAACTTAAAATCAATTACATCACTCATTTTAAACTTTTAGCTTAAGTGTCCTACAGTTCCTTAGAAGTGACTCAGGGGCCATCTGGGAGGACTGGGAATAAGTGAAAATCAGAAGGCATGGCTCCAGGCCATTTATTTCAACTTCTCCAAGCAGAGTAGTTCTGCTGTATCTATTTTATTTATTAAGGAAGGATTCTACTCCAAAGAGGGGATAAAAATGGTTTGAAAATATTTACATGAAGATAAAATGTCTCGGCTCATTTTTTACTGACTTTTTCTTATACTGAATGAAGCCCAGAGTCGTTGGGTTTAGATTCTTCTTTCAATGGAATTTAATGCATAAGCAACTGTTATGACTTAGAAAAAGCTATTCTCTGGAGTTCACCGCTGCCCAACTGGAGTGGCTCAGTTTTGAGCATTGTCCCATGCACCAAAAGGTTGTTGGTTCAATTCCAGTCAGGGCACATACCTGGGTTGTGGGTTCAATCCTCCTCGGTCAGGGCACATATGGGAGGCAACTGATTGATGTTTCTCTCTCTCTCTCTCTCTCTCTCTCTCCTCCTCCCTCTCCCCCTCCTTCTCTCTCTCTCCTTTCCTTCCTTTCTTTCTCTCTCTAAGCATGTTCTCAAATGAGATTAAAAAAAAAACAACCACTGGTTTTAGAGTTCACTGCTATGATCCTCAAACATACACACATGCTATTTTACAACATTACTTTCTGTTACACAGTGTGTTTTAGAGTAAGTACATGCCAAAACAGTGGCCAGACATTAGCAACATCAGATACAACAGAAAAATAATGAAACAACTGAAATGGTATCAGTTTAATCAACCTTTGTAAATGAATACTGGCATCCCAGGGAGACAATGAGTAGATGCCAGGGTTTAGTCTTAATGAAGCCTCTAAGGCCATCTTTTTACACAAGTTTATGTGCAATGTGTCCACTGGGAAATGCACTATCCAATTTTAGTTCATAATCTAATGCAACTGTGGGGATGGGAGCTCCAAAAACTGACTCATGGATTTTAATTATGGTTCTTCATAAACTATAATTAATTCCTGTGTTTTAGTGTTCAAAATAGATATCTGGTGGTCAGTCAAAATCTCAAAAATTAGAAGACCGTAGAACTGGAAGGGATATAGTTAACACTTTCCTACCACTTTCGTGTGTCAGGTATTGTTCTAAGAGCTTTCCCTATGTTTACTCATTTCTAAGCTACAAGACACTGTGGAGTTAATATCATCCCCATTTGACAGATTTGAGGTACAGAGAAGTTAAGTAACTTGTTCAAAGTCATAGAACTAGTAAGTAGCAGAGCCAGAATTTAAGCCCAGGCAGTCTGGCTTCAGAGTGCTGTTTAGCACTGTCCTATGTTTACAGATTTAGTCCTATACCCTCAGACAGATGAGGAAATTGATACCTGGAAAGATTAGGTGGCTTGTCAATATTATTAAATATCAGTGAATAGTTCAACTTATGATCCTATAATTTGGCATCAGCCTAACTTGCCAGGAACATTTCTTTTCTTTTCCCCCTTTAGCTTCCTCTACTTTGAATGATAAAAATGCCTCACACTCAAGGCTGATCATTAGTGGACGGAGTAGAAGCTGTCTAATATTTCAAAAGTGCAAGAAAGGCTTCCTACTCCATATGTCAAGCTTCCAAGCATCTGTAATTTTAAAAAGCACCTCAGGTGACTTGGACACAAGTTATCAATCCATAAACCATGTTTTAGGAATCAATGGCTATTGAGTAAATCTTACTTGGCTAAGTTTTAGAACTATTGAACACTTTTTTCTCCAGGCCCATACATGCTTATACCTCTACACACAAATATTTATGCTTGTATATGCAGAGACTATTCCTGGAGTAAATAAGAAATTGGTAATAAACATATGTTTAAAACACAAGCTAAGCCCCTTACTGTGTGACCAAAGCCACGATCTCTCTGAATCATTTATAAAATAAAGTAAGAGAAGAAACTATAAATATATATAAAATATCAACATGTTATTGATTCCCTAAAATAATGGCAGTGAAACAAGCATAATAGTGTCTTCAGTCAGAAAATGACATGATTAAAATAATAGCATAGGAGAATTATTCCATTAGCTATGTTTAACCCCTTCCCCAACAATTTTTTTGTTAAAAATGTTTCTTTTTCAGACTAATTTTTTTATTTTGGTTCTATATAGTATTTTTGATGCTGGTTATGAAAACAGTTTGTAATTATTTTTTCTTCCCATTTTTGTGGTTAAGAATAGTATTTCCTCAGGAAGTTTCTATATGAAATTATTTAGAATGGTACGTATGTAGCTGGTTGTTGAAGGTAAAGTTTTTAGACGAGTATACTCGTCGCCGACTGAAAAAAGAACATTTTGTGAAAATGTGTATACACGTTTCTGCCGGGGAAGGAGTTAATCTAACCTTGAATTGCTGGGGTAACCCAACTTAGTTGTGATGTATTATTCTCTTACTATATTGTTACATGCAATTTGTTAATATTTTATTTAGTTTTTGTATCTGTGCTCATGAAGACCTCGCCTACAATTTTCTTTCTAGTAACATCCTTGTCAGAATTTGGTGTCAAATTTATGCTGATACCTAAAACACATTGTGATGTGCTCCTTCTTGTATTTATCTTGGGAGAGTTTGTGAAAGATTAATCACTGTGGTAGGCAGCCTGTAAGAGGCCCCCAAGGTTCTGTCAAGGGTATTTATGCCCTGGTGTAATTCCCTTCCCCTTAGTGTGGGCCAAATGTAGGGACTCACCCCTTTCTTTTTTGCCTTCTTGGAACTTGACTCAATATTTTAAAATACTTTTTTCCCGTTAATCTGGAAGTTTCTAATTCTTTCACTATTCTTTTAGCAGCAGAGATGACAAC